TACCCCACCCCCTTCCTGCAGCCACAGTTCATGGCCTCTGCTGCATTTCTGGCCTTGGACCCTCCACACAGCCCTTTCTTTGGAAGACGTGGGGGCTTCCCAGTTGTATCTTTTGCCGCTGATTCAGAGAAATGCACCCGTGTTCACATCCTTACCTACTGACCGTGTTTCACAGGCTCTGAAATATGGTGGATCTTCTTTTAAAAAAAATATATATTATTGATTTTTTTTTTACAGAAAGAAAGGGAGAGTTAGAAACATCGATGAGAGAGAAGCATCGATCAGCCGCCTCTTGCACGCCCCCTCCTGGGGATGTGCCCGCAACCAAGGCACATGCTCTTGACCGGAATCGAACCCGGGACCCTTCAGTCCCCAGGCTGACGCTCTATCCACTGAGCCAAACCCGAAATATGGTGGATTTTCGACCTGAGGCATTTTAAGTCGATAAGATGCGGAGCTTCTAAACGGGAGTGTGAACGTCTTCCCAGGGTTCCACTCTCCAGCTTTTTGTTAAGAGAGTTTGTATAATGGATCCCATTTTCAGTATTTGGACAACACGTGCTGTTGTTTTTAAAGGCAGTGATTTATTAATTGAAAGCACCACGAGGCTGTGGCTCTCCTCACCCCCAGCTGTTTACGACCAACTGCTTGGGTGCTCCCCATGCCCAGCCCCAGCGTGGCCCAGAGCTGTATCGATCCCATGGGAAGGAGTGCCAAGGGGGAGTGCATCCAGGGGCCCGGGACCCCCTTTGTCCATTTTTGGAGGTAACTGGACTGCCCGGCCTGCGCATGTGAGGGGCCTGGTGCCAGGAGCTTCGGGTGCTGTCGTGTCCGTCGTGTGTGTGTGTGTGTGTGTGTCCCTTACCAGGATTTCTTTCTTTCTTTAAAAAAAAAAATATTTTATTGATTTTTTACAGAGAGGAAGGGAGAGAGATAGAGAGCTAGAAACAATGATGAGAGAGAAACATTGACCGGCTGCCTCTTGCGCACCCCGTACTGGGGATGTGCCCGCAACCAATGTACATGCCCTTGACCGGAATCGAACCTGGGACCTTTCAGTCCGCAGACCGACGCTCTACCACTGAGCCAAACCGGCTTCGGCTTTCTTTCTTTAAAAAAAAAAAATATTTTATTGATTTTTTTTTTTTTTTTTTTTTTTTTTTACAAAGAGGAAGAGAGAGGGATAGAGAGTTAGAAACATCGATGAAGAGAGAATCATCAATCAGCTGCCTCTTGCATACCCACTACTGGGGATGTGCCCACAACCAAGGTCCATGCCCTTGACCGGAATCGAACCCAGGACCTTTCAGTCCACAGGCCGACGCTCTATCCACTGAGCCAAACTGGTTTCAGCTGACCAGGATTTCTTTTGTGGCCCCTTCACCTGCAGAATTCTTGACACCTCTCATTTGTCGGATTCACCAGGTTCCCCTTCTTAATTCCTGACAGTTGCACAACCAGCAGCTGGAGCCTAGCTTTCCTGGTCTGGCCCAGAGTTCTTTCCGAGCCTCTTGGTTTCCGAGGTCGAGGCCCTAGAGGCAGGGTTCTTGGGGGCGAAGGGGCCTCCTGAGGTACCTGGTCAGCCTGGCTATAGGTTGACCCACGACCAGGTCGTGCCAGGCTCAGGTGAACAACAGCCTAAGGTTCTTGGTCCCTCAGCCGCCTGTGCAGAGAGATGAGTGGTTTCCCAGCGATAGCTGGTCGCTCCACACAGTTGTCCCGGGGACGACGGACAACAGGCTGCTCCTGAGGAGGTAGAGAAGATTGCTTTCACTGTGTGGCAGGAGGGGGCAGCAGACAGAAGGCTGGCCAGCATGCCTCATTCTAGTTTGAAAGGAACCTTCTGATGGGAGTGTTTCACACTTGCCATTAGCAGCGGGGCGATCGCGTTCTTCCCATGACAAATGGAGGGAGCGAAGGGAAGCAATGTGGCTGAAACCGGTGGGCAGATTGCTTTGGCATCACATCATTAAAAAACAAAACAAAACACAAAAAACCCGGAATTGACCCCAGATGCATCCAGCGTCGCGTCTTGTGGTTAGTATTTAAGGTTAGGTAGAGGGTTTTGGGTTTACCAGATTAGAAGGATGAGCTCACTTCCACATGGACCTGCTTTTAAGAGTGATGGGCCTAGCCGAAACCGGTTTGGCTCGGTGGATAGAGCGTCGGACTGCAGACTGGGGGGTGGGGGTGTCCCGGGTTCAATTTCAGTCAGGGGCATGTACATTGGTTGCGGGGGATGTACAGGAGGCAGCTGGTCGATGTTTCTCTCTCATCGATGTTTCCGATTCTCTGTCCCTCTCTCTTCCTCTCTGTGAAAAATCAGTAATATATATATATTTTTAAATAGTGATGGGTCTTGAAGAAGGCCAATTGCTTACAGTTGGTTTTTTTTTTTTTTTAAATATATTAATGTTTTTTTCTTTCAAATGTTTTAATATATTTTTTATTGATTTTTGTACAGAGAGGAAGGGAGAGAGATAGAGAGCTAGAAACATCGATGAGAGTCATCGATCAGCTGCCTCCTGCACACCTCCCACCGGGGATATGCCCGCAACCAAGGCACATGCCCTTGACCGGAATCGAACCCGGTCCCTTCAGTCCCCAAGCCGACGCTCTATCCATTGAGCCAAACCGGCTTCGGCTACAGTTGGTTTTCTGTCTCCCATGGCTCCTAAACAGCATCTTGCTGGATGGCAAAAGTGGTAGAAAACTAGGAACCTGACCATGTCTCCCTCCTGTAGTATATACTCCATAAAACACACCACATCAGAGCCATTTCGTAAACGTAGGAACGGGATATTCTAAATCTTTGCCTCTAACCCAGCGTGGAGCAGGCCTGCGGACTGGCCTGAGCCGCTTGGGAGGTCATTTCCCAGTGGGTGTGCTTCATGCCCAGACTTGGCTGGGTCCATACAGTGATCTGGAAAAGGAGAGAAGCAGCATTCTCCCTGTTCGCCTGGGGGCTGTTTCTGTGTGGGACTTTCAGTCTAACGAGCACGTTCTGGCCTCAGGGCTCCCACCAACCCTTTCTCCCTCCTTATCTCCATCTCCCTGTCTCTGCTTCTCAGCCTGGGTAAGCTCTGGAACCCCTTGGACCTCCAGGGGAGACCTAGCAAGGTGCAGTGGGCTCTGCATGAGGAGGCCAGTATCAGGCATAGGCTGGAAAGCAACGCTTTATTTTTAAAAAATATATTTTATTGGTTTTTTTACAGAGAGGAAGAGAGAAGGATAGAGAGTTAGAAGCATCGATGAGAGAGTGTCATCGATTAGCTGCCTCTTGCACACCCCCTACTGGGGATGTGCCCACAACCAAGGTACATGCCCTTGATGGGAATCGAACCCAGGACCTTTCAGTCCCTAGGCTGACGCTCTATCCACTGAGCCAAACCGGTTTCGGCAAAGGAAAGCAAAGCTTTAGAAGTCTCCGGTCACACACGGTGCAGTGTACAGATGGTATGTTGTAGGATTGTGCACCTGAAGCCTGTAGAATGTTGGGAACCCATGCCACTGCAATGAATCCAATTTAAAAAAAGAAAAGGAAAGAACAGTCGTAGGCTGGCCTCCTTGCTCTGCCTTTGCTAGTCATGGGGGCTTAAGCACCTCAGAACCTCTTGTCTTCATCTGGGGATGGAGTGCATGGGGCATTGTGTGTGTGTGTGAACTCCCTTGGACACCACTCCCCTGCCTCCTGTTGCGTGTTGGCTGGCTTTACCAGAGGCAGAGGTAAGCTCTGCTCTTGAAAGCAATCCAGCAAACATTTACAGAGAGCAGTGCTAAGTGCCCCGCTCTGTGGAGGGATACGAGACTGGCCCAGTTTCTGTGCCAAGGAGCTGCCGCTCTTGAGAGCTCCTCATTTATCAGCAGGTAGAGGTGGTGCCAGCCCTTTCCCTCCCTCCCTCCCTCCCTCCCTCCCTCCCTCCCTCCCTCCCTCCCTCCCTCCCTCCCTCCTTCCCTCCCTCCCTCCCTCCCTCCTTTCCTCCCAGCTTGCCTGGCCCCAGGGAAATGCAGAACCTCGGCTCTCTCCACACTGGCTACCTCCCAGGGCCCACTCCTTCCTTGGGACAACTTGGCAGGAAGAAGAAAGACAAGAAGCTGGCTGACCTTACCCCACTAGCCTTATTTTATTTTATTTTTTATTTTTTTTGCCGTTGTTCCAGCAGCTTAAGCCCTTAGCTTGCTCGGGTGCCTGGAGAACCGTGCTCTGCATGTTGTGCTAACCTCCTTGACTGGGGGTGGTGGTGCTGGTGGTGGTGGCAGCAACCTGTGGCGTGAGGCTGATTGATATTGGCCTCTAGCCTCGCTTCACACACTCCAGAGGCAGGGGTGGTGAGTGGAAATTTCAGGTGTGTTCTTTCATTTGGGCTACCAATCTCAGGTCAGGAAAACATCACCTTCGGATATTTCTGGGTAATTAATCTGAGATACAGGGAAATACACTGAGTGGCCAGATTATTATGGTCTCTGAATGCATAATAATCTGGCCACTCAGTATATATACACATTAGAGCGCTCGGTGCATGAATTCATACATGGGTGGGGTCCAGCCAGCCTGGCCAGGGGGAGGGGACATGGGCAGTTGGCCGGCCTGCCTGCTGGTCGAACTCCTGGTCGAGGGGACAATTTGTATATTAGCCTTTTATTGTATAGGATATACACTGAGTGGCCAGATTATTATGCGTTTAGAGATCATCATAACCTGGCCGCTTGGTGTATTATTGCCTTTGAAGTGTCTCAGTTTTGTTTCTGAAGGAAACTGTAGTGGGATGATGCTTGTCTTTCTTTGGACCGGGCGGGATGGGAAGAAGAGCCAAAAGTTGGGCTCACAGTTGACTGTACTGCTCCCTGCCCTTGTCGGATGTGTGCTAGGTATTGGGAGGGGGAAGGAGAGGGGAGAGGTTGGGAGCCTGGGATCCAGAGCCCCTGTTGCTGTCCGGTCCTCTCTGACTCCAGGCCTGCCCGCGGCTCTCACTAACGCCTGTCATCTCTCTGGTCCCCAGGTGCTGCACCTGTACTGTGACACTTGCTCGGTGCCCATCTGTCGCGAGTGTACAATGGGCCGGCACGGGGGCCACAGCTTCATCTACCTCCAGGAGGCGCTGCAGGACTCCCGGGCTCTCACCATCCAGCTGCTGGCGGACGCCCAGCAGGGCCGCCAGGCGATCCAGGTCAGTCCTTCCCCACCCCACCCTTCACCTACTCCCTCGTGCACAAAGCCTTTCCCCACTGCCTTTCAGATGGCGTGCCCAGATTACTGGGCAGACGCCAGTGTGTGGGGGCTGTGGTGGAACAATGACCCAAGTGAGCTCATGTGATATCCATGCAGCAATAATCCCTGGGGCTGGGGCAGGGAGGGGTGGGACCACCTTGAAGTCTCATGCAGATGAGGAGGAGGTGGCCCGAAGTTAATGGCTGGTCTAGGCTTGCTCCCATTCACTTAGCCTGGCCCCTATCATAGCATCTTGTCTGTTTCCCATCCATCCCCTCCCCAATTCCAGGTAGATTCCAGAAGGACTGGGAGCTTGACACTTTTCAGACAGAGACCTTTGCTATTCAGATTTATTTGTTTGTTTGTTTAGTGGTGAGAAAGAAGCGAGCATGGGCAGTTTCCCATAAGGCTCAGAGTGTCAAAACTCTTTCCTGGGTGATCAGGTCCCATCCTGGTCATTTAGACTCTTGTTTCTGTTTAGTTTCTATCTCTTTGGGAGTTAGGGATACATGTAACTTGGGGGCATCGCATCTATGCTCTCCCACAGTCAGGTCATATTGTGTGCCCGAACTGATTTTGAATCTCCGTGCCTGATGCAGACTTTAGGAACACAGAAACACCATGTGATGTTAGCCTTTTGTTTTGTAGGCTGAGCTGGAAAATCAGGGAACACTACTAACCCTTGAGCAGAAATTGAATAGGAAACTATTGTTAGTTACATGCTAGAGTATCTGAATAAGTGAATTTTTAAAAAAAGCATCTTTTAGCCCTACTCGGTTTGGCTCAATGGATAGAGCCGTTGGCTTACAGACTGAAAGGTCCCAGGTTCGATTCCGGTCAAGGGCACGTACCTTGGTTGTGGGCACATCCCCAGTTGGGGTTGTGCAAGAGGCAGCTGATGATGCTTCTCTCTCATCGATGTTTCTAATTCTCTATCCCTCTCGCTTCCTCTGTGTAAAAAAATTAATAAAATATATATTTTTTAAAAAGTATCTTTTAGGAAAGTGGTTGAAGAACCGATGGTGTGCTCTAGGGAAGATGGTTTAAGGATAGTTTAGATTTTAATATGCTGAAGTAATCTTTCTGATAGGTCAAATTGTCTGGTATCCAAGTCCTAAAATTGAAGGTTTGAGAGTCTTATTTCCGGAATGATTTACTCTGTCGTGCTCTTATTAGGCCTCCAGAGCGGCTCTGTCTTGTGGCTGCTGTTACATCGCATGTGTCCGCATCCTCACTGGTACATGCTAGGTTTTATTTCTGTTCTATCTTAATGACTGTGTCCTGAATGAAGGGGTGTGTGGTTTCCATTTTTATGCCACTACAGTTAGGACCTTGTCAACTGCTTGTCCCGCAGGCTTCTTCCTAAGACCCCGTCACCTGGGGAGTTTAAAGAACCACCAATGTCACCCTTGCCCATGTGGCTCCTTTGGGTGCCTTGCCTTTGTGCACCACAAGGTTGCCAGTTTGATTCCCCTTCAGGGCACATTCCTGCGTTGCGGGCTTAATCCTCAGTAAGAGGATGTGCAGGAGACAGCCTTTGGAAGAGTCTCATAGTTGATGTTTCTCTCTCTCTCTCCCTTATCAAAAATAAGTAAATAAATAAAAAAAATATGTGTGTGTGTGTGTGTGTGTGTGTGTGTGTGTGTGTGTATATATATATATATATATATATATATATATATATATCCCTAGCCAATTTGTCTCAGTGGATAGAGCGTCAGCCTGTGGACTGAGAGGTCCCAGGTTCGATTCCGGTCAAGGGCACATGCCTGGATTACAGGCTTGATCCTCAGTTGGGGGCATGCAGGAGGCAGCCCATGGATGATTCTCTTTCATCATTTTTTTTTCTCTCCCTCTTCTCTAAAATCAATAAAAATGTTTTTAAAAATATATATACATTAAAAAATTAATAAACATGGTCACTCTTCATGTTAAAGCAAGAGTAATAGCTATTATACCATTTTGCACAAAAACGAGAACTGAGCTTAATGCCGAAGCATCATTGTTTTAGGTTATACAGGTGAAATGTCAATCAAGACTTCTGGATTAATTTTATCCCTTATCTCCTGTTTGTCTTGTATCATTTCTTTGATCATCCTAACAGACTAAGGGTCCTCTGCGGACGCTCCTACTTGCCATGTTGGGAAGCTGCCACAGCTATGCTAAGAATGCCTACTCTCTCTTGTGAACTAATTTATCGCCAAAAGAACCTTGTTCTTTCTATTACAAATATGGAAATGGAAGAACAAAATTAGTCGCTTTGCTCAAGCAACCAGACCTCCTTAATCAGAGGCCTTCCCGTTTCTTCAGTGAGGAGACTCAACAAGACCTGTTTGCTGAGCTCCTGCTTTGTTCCCGGCTCTGCAATAGGTGCTTTCTGCATACATAGTGGTGCTTTTCTGTTGTGGGTGTCAGTCTTCCCATTTTGCCAAGAGAACGGCTTAGCTCCAAAGAAATGAACCTCAGGTAACCTGCCAGAGGCACACGAAGGGTGAATAGAATTGCGGTTTGAATCCAAAACTAATAAACAACTGCTTCTCATTTGGGAAGCTGTCCTCTCTCTAGCTCCCCAACCCTCTCTTAGGCATGTGCAAGCCCCCCTCCCCATGGCAACCCCCAGATACAGAGAAAAATCATGGTTGGAGAACACTACACCATGACCTAATTAAAAAATTTCCCATGCTGTCTTCATTAGGACTCTTGGTTGCAGTGGACTGAAAGGGAATGAATAGTCTCAGGTGACCAGGTAGGAGAATCAGGCTTGGATGGATCAGGCTTCAGGTATCCAGGGACGCAAACCTTGGTGCCAGCGCTGTCAATCATGTAGCCTGTCCCTCTCTCCATGGTTACCGCTTTCTTGCTACTGGGCCTGGGCGTATCCACATAGTGCTGAGAGAAAGGTGGGCATAAGTGGCGATGGCTTCAGGCCTGCACCTCAGGGAAAGAGTGGGTATCCTCTCCCCCCACCCTCCTTCCCTTTTGGGGTGGGGGTGGGGTGGAGGCTGGAACATCCTATATAATAAAAGCCCAGTGATTGAAACAGTGGAACAATCAGAGACCAGAACAACCATGGCCCATGGCCCCTCGCCCCGGCCAGCTCCATCCCCTAGCGAGGGGTTAGGGACGATTGGTTAGGCAATCAGGCAGGCAGGCAGGCAGGCAGGCAGGCAGGCAGGCGAGCTGTTAGGAGCCAGTGGTGCTGGATTGCGAGAGATGTCTTAACTGCCATTTTAGGCCCTATCCACAGGGATCCCTGTGGGATTGGGCCTAAACCAGCAGTCAAACATCGCCTAAGGGGTTCTGGATTGCGAGAGGGTGCAGGTTAAGCTGAGGGGGACTTCCCCCCTTCTCCCCGTCCCTCCCGTGCACAAATTTTGTGTTTGTGTTGGGGCCAGAAGGCTTGAAGATGTATATCGGCTGCTCTTCTATCCTTCCTTTAAAATAAAAGGCTCCTTTATAATAAAAGAGTAATATGCAGATATGACCAAACGGTGGAAGGACAGGTCACTATGATGCACACTGGCCACCAGGGGCAGATGCTCAATGCTGGAGGGAGCAAGAAGAGAGAGAAGAAACATCATTATGAGAGAGACACATCAGTTGGTTCCTGCCTGCACTGCCCGCACCCCAAACCAGGGTAGAAGAACAAACCTGCAACCCAAGTATATGCCCTTGACCAGGAATTGAACCCTGGGCCCTTTGGTCTGCTCCAACCACTGAGCCATGTACTGACAATTATAAGATGAATCGTAGTTTCCAAACTCTCTTTTTTTAAAAATATATTTTATTGATTTTTTTTTTTTTTTTTTTTTAACAGAGAGAAAGGGAGAGGGATAGAGAGCCAGAAACATCAATGAGAGAACCATCGACCAGCTGCCTCCTGCACACTCCGCACCGGGGGTGTGCTCGCAACCAATGTACATGCCCTTGACCAGAATCGAACCCAGGACCCCTCAGTCCGCAGGCCGCGCGCTCTGTCCACTGAGCCAAACCGGCCTCAGCAGTTTCCAAGCTCTTAAAAGTGTGATTACAACGATATGAGTACCGTAGAGTATTTTTCGTTATCTGCTATGGTGGCCTGCGAGTTTATGCACTTTTATTATCTTTTGGTTATTGGTGCATTTTCATCACCAGCCACTAGGCCACCCTGGTTCTCCATGGCAGACATCACTAATCGCTCTTTGCACTCCGCCCCAGGAAACCCTGTATGGCCTCACACGCCTCAGTGCTAAGTTGTCAGCTGGCACGCACCGACCGATTTCGCTTGCCCAGATCGAGCCCCTCAATTTCAGATGTTTGATTGCATCTGTGTTAACATTCAAGCCCCCCATGCTTGTTGGTGGTGTTTTTTTTTTTTTTTTTTTTCTCACTTTAACGGCAAATTGTGTTTCTGTGTTCAAAGTTGATGCAGCCCCTCCCCCACTGTCATCTTCCTCAACCCACCTGTTTCTTGTCTCTGTCAAAGGCCCTGCCTTCATTCAGTATCAGGAACAAGTTCAGCAGGTCCTGGCTGTGCATGTTGGAGTGTGGGGCTTGACTGGTTTGTGCACGATTTAGAAAGCAAAGGCCCATTTTGTCTGCATCCTTTACGACTCTCAACCCTAGGATTGATGTTATTCTTGCATGCTTGCGGGGGGGGGGGGGGGTGACTGAGAGTGAAGTGAGAGCTTTTCACTCCTTCCACCTGCTTGAAAAATGGAAGAAGTGTTTCTTGGTAGAGAATGGGAGTTCCAAACCCAAGGGCTTGGCTTGTAGGATCTGGCAGGGCCTGAGGGAGTAAGCCTTGCCCAGGGGACAGTAGGGGAAGAGGTCACACCCCCCACCTCACCCCCAAGCAAAGGGGGTGGTCGTAGCCTTCCCAGCCAGTTCTTGCCCTGTGGTCGGCAAACTCAACAGAGTAAATATCAACGGTACAACAATTGAAATTTCTTTTGAGAGCTGAAAACCGACTTCTGCGCATGGGCCACGAAGTTTAAATCGTACTGTATGTGTGTGCCCGCATATGGTATTTTGTGGAAGAGCCACACCCAAAGGGCCAAAGAGCCACATGTGAGAGCCGCAGTTTGCCAACCACTGCCCTTGAGGAGTGTTGTTGGCCTTGCTATTTTCAAATCTTGCGATTTCTATAGAAATCTGTTTGGTATATGATGAATGACATTGGTGAAAATAGGAAGCAGTTTGCCACCTCTGCTGACCGTTGAGGAAACAGGAAGAAACTTTTAGCTGGTGTGGGTCGGTGGTTGAGCATCGACCTATGAACCAGGGGATTATGGTTCGATTATGGGTCAGGGCTCATGTCCCGGTTGCCCGGGATTCTCATCATTGATGTTTTCTTTTCATCACTGATGATTCTCTCCCGCTCCCTTCCTCTCTGAAATCAATAAAAGAGAAATATTATGGTCCAACTAGCATAGCTCAGTGGTGATTTCAAGGTGTATGTCCCCAGTTTTCAGGCTCTATCCCCAGTGGGGGATATACAGGAGGCAACCGATCAATAATTCTCTCTCATCATTGATGTTTTTATCTCTCCCTCTTCCTTCCTCTCTCTAAAGCCAATAAAACATATTAAAAAAAAAAGATATTATAGCCAAAGCCGGTTTGGCTCAGTGGATGGAGCGTCGGCCTGTGGACTGAAGGGTCCCAGGTTCAATTCCAGCCGGGGGCATGTACCTTGGTTCCGGGCACAACCCCAGTGGGGGGTGTGCAGGAGGCAGCTGATCGGTGTTTCTCTCTCATCGATGTTTCTAACTCTGTCCTTCTCTCTTCCTCTCTGTAAAAAAAATCAATAAAATATATTTTAAAAATAAAAAAGATACTATAGACACTGGCTGGGTTGTGTCAGGTAATGATACCTCGGTGCAAATGAATAACCAACACACCTGAAGACAGGGTGTGCCCGCCACTAAGTTCTCTCCCGCCCTTTCTCACCATGTGATGCTGGGGCTGCAGCACTTCTTCCAGCCACTCCCTGGAAGTGGGAAGGAGGGACATGCTTCTTCCTCTTAACTTCCTACTGTTACCAGGGCCGTTTTTTTCCATCCTGGCTGCAGAAGTTGCTTCCCATGTCTTGCTTTTGTCACTCCCAGAATGAACTGGGAAAACCCCAATTTCTTCTTCCCCAAATTCTTGGGTTGGTGGCTACGTCCCCAGTTATTGCTGTCTATCTCTAATCCTCAGCCTGCCCCTTGTCCTAGCCCTGCTCCAATGCCTCGTTAGCCAGAGTCTTCACATTAAATCGTCTCCATTTCTCCTTTTTCTGAACGAATCTTGACAGCCTGAGACATTTGAAATCTACCAACCCCATTCTGTCTCCTTGCATGCACATTTGCTTTTGTTGGCCATTCTGGTTTTTGAGCGTAGGTGATAACTCAGACAAATCCATCTGCTTTTGTTTGTTGGCCACGGGTTAGTTTCCTAGAGCAGTGGTCGGCAAACAGCGGCTCTGTTGACTAATGAGTTTGCCGACCACTGGACTAGACTAAATGTTATTACCGTGTAGTTGGAAGCTGTGAGGATTAGGCAATTGTGGCGTATTGTGTGCAAAGAGGGAAAGGGTCGTATATGAGAGTGGTCTGCAAACTCATTAGTCAACAGAGCAGCAAACCGTGGCTTGCGAGCTGCAGTTTGCCGACCACTGTCTTAGAGCTGCTTCAACAACTTACCACCCCCTGGGTGACTTAAAACAATAGGAATGTGCTGTCTCGCCGTTCTAAAGGCTACAAGTCCAAAAGGAGGGTGTCAGCAAGACTGCGCTCTGCTCCTACTGGAAGATCTAGGGAAGAACCCTGGCTGGCAGGGTGCTGTGGTCCGCTCTTTCCTCGTATTCTATTGCCTTTTCCTCCCAGTCCTCCTCTCTCAAGGTTGGAGGCCAGGAACGCGTCCCAAGGCCTTTCAACTAGCGGACGGTGGAGCCAGGATTCGAACCTGGTCACCCGACGCCTGTGTTGATCATTAGCCTGGTTTGCCCCAGTTTTTGATATGTTCCATATTCTGGATACTCCTCCGTCCCCAGGGTACACGGGGATGGCCGGTCACCTGTCACCAATTCCTGAGCCCAGGTCAGGCCCCAAACTATTTTTTTTTAAAAATATATTTTTTATTGATTTTTTTACAGAGAGGAAGGGAGAGGGATAGAGAGCTAGAAACATCGATGAGAGAGAAACATCGGTCAGCTGCCTCTTGCACACCCCCACCCCCTCTTGATATGCCCGCAACCAAGGTACATGCCCTGGAATCGAACCTGGGACCCTTCATTCTGCAGGCTGACGCTCTATCCACTGAGCCAAACCGGTTTCGGCAGGCCCCAAACCCTTGATGCTTCTTCCCCCCAGGCCCCTCCTGGTTTAGGATGCTGGCTCTAACCCTGTTGCACCAGCAGCAGCCGGGTTAGAACCCCTGATTTAATACCTCAGTGTCTCAGAAGAAATCCTTTTGAAGACGTGTCATGTAATATTAATGAAAACACGAGGCCTTCTGTCTGGATTAATTTTTTATGAACAATAATACGTCTGATTAAACTGGCTGATTTACTAGAGCTGGTGGTACAGGGTTGGGGGGTGGGGGATGGCGGGGTGGATGGCCTCTATCCACGGGCACGGTTTCTGAGGTGACCAGTATTCCCAGGATGCACGTGGGGTTGGTTCTGGCCGGAAATGCCATGACAGGAAGGTGATGGATCACGGCTGGCTGGCTTTTGCCACTGTGGGTACCCCCTCCGGTGTGGGATGGGCCCAGCCCTCAGGGTTCCCCCAGGTGGGCAGTAAAGGCCAGACAGTCTGTGGGAAGGGAAGTTGTCCGTGTGCCCGGGGTAGGCACGTCGCACATCTGATCCGTAGCCCCGGTCTTCGGCGGCCAACCAGCTACACTGGTTTCACTGTTGTCGGAGTAGCTCTTAATAGTCCTGACATTTCACCGGGGTAGGTGCCATTTCCCCACACAGAGACGCCCGGCGCTTGCCAGCAGCTCCTTCGGTTACATGTCGGACAGATGCCATTCTCTCCCCTAAGTGCCTGCTTTCTTTCCAAGGAAGTGGAGCACACGGTCTGGGGGGCCCTGAGGGGGGTTGGTGGGGGGTGGGGGTGGTGGAGAAGCAGACCTAAACGTTTTGTGTGAAGGAGGCGTCCTGATGCCATGCCATGGTTTCTGGTTTTCTTCCAGCTGAGCATCGAGCAGGCCCAGACCGTGGCGGAGCAGGTGGAGATGAAGGCCAAGGTGGTGCAGTCGGAGGTCAAGGCCGTGACGGCGAGACACAAGAAGGCCCTGGAGGAGCGGGAGTGCGAGCTGCTGTGGAAGGTAATGGGGGGGAGGGGCGGAAGACCACATCTCCCCCACCCACCCCCAGTCCGGGCCTGGGCCTCCTCGGCTGGCCAGCATTTCTTCCATGACCACCCCCATTCCCATGTCAGATCCTGGACCCCAGCTCTAAATGTAGATGGCTTGGTAGCTTTCCATGGTTCCATTGGCGGAAAGGTTACCGGGGTCCCTGGAACCTTGTGGGTGCTCTCCAGGCAGAAAAATAACAAGGAGCCCTTTCAGAAAAGAGTTCGGGTACCAAGGCTGGAAGGAGTCCCGCGTGTTCTGTGGCGCAAATGCTCCGAAGGACGCTGGAAGGACGGACAATCGAACCCGCTGTTAGGAAGGCAGGCCTGGTGGGCAACATCCTTATGTTTGGTGTCCTGGCCGGTTGCACTTCCTGGACCGGTGGGGAAGGCCCGTTTTCCACTTGGCGAGGGCAGGGAGCGTGTGCCCTTGCTTCCTGTGGGAGCGGGAAAGCATGCTGAGCACACTGGTGTGCTGTTTAGATTTTAAAAAAAAAACAACAAACCAAAACAAAACAAAAAACAGCTGGAGCCCTCGCTGGTGTGACTCAATGGTTAGAGCATCGACCTGCGGCCTGAAGGTCCCAAATTCGATTCCAGTCAAGGACACATGTGTTTCCTCCCCCCCCCCCCGTTGCAGTAGGGGGCATGCAGGAGGCAGCTGATCAATGACTCTCATCATTGATTTTTCTATCTCTCTCCCTTTCTGTTCCTCTCAAATCAATAAAAATATACATGTTTTAAAAATCAGCTGGGTCGAAGCCTGTGGACTGAAAGGTCCCAGGTTCGATTCCGGTCAAGGGCTCGTACCTTGGTTGCGGGCACAATCCCAGTGGAAGGTGATGGATGTTTCTCTCTCATCGATGTTTCTAATTCTCTCTCACTCTCCCTTCCTCTCTGTAAAAATCAATAAAATATATATTTTTTTAAAAAATCAGCTGGAAAGCTGGCTCTCCCTACCCACGTCACCATCCCAGCGTTTTCCTGTCCAATCTTCCCTCTCCCTCAGAAGGGAAGAGGGGAATATGCTTGGGAAGGGGCCCGTGCCCCACGCCAGTTCCACTATAACTACATTCTCTGAGAACGCAAGTGAGGCCACCTACAAAGGGTGAGCATAGGTGTGTGTGCATGTTTGTTTTGATCATCAAGCTGCAGGGTGGAAGCGAGGTGTGGTACCTCAGTTTCCGGAAGTGGCCCTAAAATGTTCTCTGGGAGGCTACCCCTTGCATCTTTGCATGCTCCCATTTCGTTGGCTCCTAATGCGCTGCTTTCTGCTTCGTCCAGCCTCTCAAGGACTAGAAGGCTCAAGTTGTGTTTTTATTTTTTTGGGTTTTTTTTTGGACAAGAAGAGAAAGGCTCCCTGGAGGGAAAAAGTCCCGAGATTTTAATGCGGCACCTATTTTACGTAGGCACCTCTGTGGCCCGGACACGATTATCAGACACTCCGATGCCCCCGTGGTCTGTCGGCCCCATGCCACCCACGACTGTTCATTATAACGGAAAGGGGCCCACTCGCTGCAACCTGAGAGCAGCGCCGTGGTGAACTCTGCCACAAACCCACTCTTCTGGATCTGCCGATGAAAAGGCCTTTGTGCGCTTCCGCGGGTCTCACCTACGTTCTCATCCTCCCTCCCTCCCGGGAGGCTGGCTCGCCGCCTCTCCCAAAGGCAGTTTTCTTTCAGGAGGAATGGAAAGCCAGTTTTGACTCTTAACCCTACCAGACCTGGGGCCCTGAACCTAATTAACCCATGTACCTGGGCTCCTGAGCTTTAAGAGAAGCAAATTTTGGGGAGAGGAAAAAAGAAAAGAGTCCATTTCTTTGTGTAATAAACGTTATTTTTGCCAAAGCCGGTTTGGCTCAGTGGTAGAGCGTCGGTCTGCGGACTGAAAGGTCCCAAGTTCGATTCCGGTCAAGGGCATGTACATTGGTTGCAGGCACTTCCCCAGTTGGGGATGTGCAAGAGGCAGCTGGTCGATGTTTCTCTCTCATCGATGTTTCTAACTCTCTCACTCTCCCTTCCTCTCTATAAAAAATCAATAAAATATTAAAAGAAAAAAACAAACAAAAAAAACCCCACGTTATTTCTCCTTGCCCAAGAACTCATTCTCAGATTTCTCCCCAATTGGCTTGCTTGTTCTGCACACACTCCTTTATCTTTTTTTTGTGCCCGCAACCAAGGTACATGCCCTTGACCAGGAATCGAACCTGGGAGCCCTTGAGTCTGCAGGCTGATGCTCTATCCACTGAGCCACACCGGTTAGGGCAAGAATTAGTATTTTTAGTAGCACAACTCCGCTCTCATCCCTCCACTCACACCCTCCCATCCCCCCCAATCCAGGATCCACTCATTGCGTTGAGTTATGTCTGTGTAGTCATCCCTTACACCTGGAACGACAGTTCGTTTGCCCTTTTTGTGCCGTTGGGTTTTGCAGGAGCGCAGGCCAGTTGTCTCTGCGGACTGTCTCCTCGGCCCTGCTTTGCCCGAGGGCTCCTCCTGACTGGTATCGGGCGATGTGTTTCCTGTGTGCGTGGCTCTAAGCCTCTTGTGTCCTCTCTCCCCCTGTCCTCGCCTTTCCCTCCAGGTAGAGAAGATCCGCCAGGTGAAGGTCAAGTCTCTGTACCTGCAGGTGGAGAAGCTGCGGCAGAACCTCACCAAGCTGGAGAGCACCATCAGCGCCGTGCAGCAGGTGCTGGAGGAGGGCCGGGCGCTGGACGTGTTGCTGGCCCGCGACCGCATGCTGGCCCAGGTGCAGGAGCTGAAGACCGTGCGCGGCCTCCTGCAGCCCCAGGAGGACGACCGGGTCATGTTCACGCCCCCCGACCAGGCCCTGTACCTGGCCATCAAGTCCTTCGGCTTCGTCAGCAGCGGGGCCTTCGCGCCGCTCACCAAGGCCACGGGGGACGGCCTCAAGCGGGCCCTCCAGGGCAAGGTGGCCACCTTCACCGTCATGGGCTACGACCACGACGGGGAGCCCCGCCTCTCGGGGGGCGACCTCATGTCCGCCGTGGTGCTGGGCCCCGACGGCAACCTGTTCGGGGCCGAGGTGAGCGACCAGCAGAACGGCACCTACCTGGTGAGCTACCGCCCCCAGCTGGAGGGGGAGCACCTGGTGTCGGTCACCCTGTGCAACCAGCACATCGAGAACAGCCCCTTCAAGGTCGTGGTCAAGTCCGGCCGCAGCTACGTGGGCATCGGCATCCCGGCCCTGAGCTTCGGCAGCGAGGGCGACGGCGACGGCAAGCTGTGCCGGCCCTGGGGCGTGAGCGTGGACAAGGAGGGCTACATCGTGGTCGCCGACCGCAGCAACAACCGCATCCAGGTGTTCAAGCCCTGCGGCGCCTTCCACCACAAGTTCGGCACGCTGGGCTCCCGGCCGGGCCAGTTCGACCGGCCGGCCGGCGTGGCCTGCGACGCCTCCCGCCGCATCGTGGTGGCCGACAAGGACAACCACCGGATCCAGGTGTTCACCTTCGAGGGCCAGTTCCTCCTCAAGTTCGGCGAGAAGGGGACCAAGAACGGGCAGTTCAACTACCCCTGGGACGTGGCGGTGAACGCCGAGGGCAAGATCCTGGTGTCGGACACACGGAACCACCGGATCCAGCTGTTCGGGCCGGACGGCGCCTTCCTGAACAAGTACGGCTTCGAGGGGGCCCTCTGGAAGCACTTTGACTCGCCGCGGGGCGTGGCCTTCAACCACGAGGGCCACCTGGTGGTCACCGACTTCAACAACCACCGGCTCCTGGTCATCCACCCCGACTGCCAGTCGGCGCGCTTCCTGGGCTCGGAGGGCACGGGCCACGGGCAGTTCCTGCGGCCGCAGGGCGTGGCCGTGGACCAGGAGGGGCGCATCATCGTGGCCGACTCCAGGAACCACCGGGTGCAGATGTTCGAGTCCAACGGCAGCTTCCTGTGCAAGTTCGGGGCTCAAGGCAGCGGCTTCGGGCAGATGGACCGCCCCTCCGGCATCGCCATCACCCCGGACGGCCTGGTTGTCGTGGTCGACTTCGGCAACAATCGAATCCTCATCTTTTAATCCCCGTTTTTCTAGGCTTTTGTGTTTGGGGGTGTGCGTGTCTCTTTTCTCTCTCTCTCTCTCTCTCTCTCTCTCTCTCTCTCTCTCCTTTTGAATTTCAAAGAAGAAAACAGTCTCAGGGAAATTTCTTTTTCTTTTTCTTTTGTTTAAAGAGAACAAGGAAAGTACAACGTGGCCTAAGTCCTACCTCACCTTTATTTTTTTACAGATGAATGTACGCGTCTTTTCTTCAGGGAGTTGAGCCTGTGAAGCGATGATTTTCCTATCTACCTCATAACTCTTTTACATTTCCTTCTCCGTGGAGGTCACGTGCCCCTCTCCCCCTGCGTGTGGGGCGTGACATGCACAAGCCTGTTGTCTCTCTGGCTGGGAGGGCACTCACTGGATGGGTGTGGTGGGCTGATGATATATACTCTGTAGATTGAGCCAAGGAAACACGGAAGAAACTACTAAGTTTAAAACAACAACAACAACAACAAAAACCCACCCCCCAAAAAAGTATAAACCGTGGGGGAAGTAGGATGTGAAATGCTTAATGATAGAGTATCTGTGTTCTTGAGGATACTGTGTTTATGGGGTTAGATTGTGTTAAGTGATCTTGATCTTTTTTGTGGGGTGGGGGAGGAATCTTTTTTCTTTTTTTTAAATGCTGCAATGGAGAACTTCCTTGCGTTCTCCTTTTGTATCTCTTGTGTGTCTCTCATCCTGTTCAGCATCTTTTCTTGTTGCTAGAAGATGGGGCTGTGGCTTGCTAGCCGAGCAAAGCGGACTCCTGTTCCCGGTTTAGGTCACGGCCCCTATGTCTCTCTCGAGGCAGGGGCGTGTATGTGAGGCCGCCTTCCCTCAGGTTGACGGATTCTGAAGGTGATGCACAGCCTCCCAAAGAACCTTTCCCTTCCTACTTTAGTTTCTAAAAAAGTAATAAGCGTAGTTCAGGATTTTTGTTAAAAGTATTCTCTCAAAAGTATCCTTAGTTCGAGAGAATAATTATAAATATTCTTAAGTATTCTTAGTTTGCTGTTGGTTTGAAAGAGTGAAGCAATCGGAAGAAGAACGTGGACCTCGTTCTCAGGAAAGAGGGTTTTGGACACGGCGTGGTGGGTGCCACGTGCGTGTCCCGAGGTGGTCTTTTTGGGGAGCATGAGACTGAAACAAGCCACCCCCCGCAAACTCTTCCGGACGCTGCCAGGAGGGTTGGGGTTACGGTTGAATGTGGTTCTCTCTGTTCATGGAAACATGCCTTTTGCGAAGAAGAGTCGTAGGCAAGGGAACGAACTTTTATGTTTAAAAGCACAATGTTTTTTTCCCAAAGCTTGGGAAGTGCAGGGAAATGGAACGTTCTGGAAGTCAGATTCATAGGAACAGCCCATCCTCTTCCTTCACCCTCTGCTCCGGTCTACCGTAGGACCTTGTTTAGAACCCCTGTCCCCAAACCCCCAAAGGCCTTTGAATGTAAATGATCTGTAAACTTAAAATTGCCCCACCTCGGTATGTAGGGCATACTGTCCTTTGTGAAACCTCTTCTCTCGGTACCAAAGAATGAGCATGGAAGCCGGCCTCCACGGCAGAACCGTGGGGCGGCGCCGGTCACTTTACAGGGTTGGTTCGCGGTAACCTGGACGTGGGGTACAAAACCTCTGTCTTTTTGGTGGGAAGCCGGTAGGGCTGACGCTACCCTGCCTGGCAGAACCCACACGGGTCCCTGCACTTCCCGCCAACACGGACATAAGAACCAGATTCGAGTCTTGCACAGCTCAGGAGAAAACACACACACACACACACACACACACACACACAGGCTCTCGGAAGCCAGGGGCTTCCAGGAAGAGCTCTTGTTTGAACAGACGAACTGGTCTCTTTCTGTTCCTGAATTTAAAAGAAATCCCCTTTTGTAATAGGTATGTCGTTTTTAAGTGAACAGAATAAACGGACAGACAAAGCCATTTGCCATCTGCCCCCCAAAGAAAAGATGTTTGGGACAATGTTAACCAATCAATCAAAATTTCTTTTCTGGACATTGGATCTATCAGTTCCCGGTTCCCAATGCTTGGGTTCTAGGGTTTCTGAATGACCAAAATGGGGGGATGGGGGAGAGGAGAAAAAAACCTCATTTCTTGAAGAGCTTCAGTAAAGTAACCAGAAATTCAAAAGAAACTTGAACCTGCTGCCTCAGCTTGCTGTGTGACAGGGTGGGTAGGTGACAGGAAGTCTCATTTTGTAAAACAAACACACACACACAACACAAAAAACGCCTTTTCTTTTATTGAAGAATTGGACAGTGAATCCTGCCTCCATTCCTATTCGGTTGCCTTTTATTTTGTCCCTAATGTCTAAGCTCTTGGGTAAAGAGCTCATATAGGGAGACTTTTTTTTATTTTGGAATAACTTGGTGCTGTCTTTTCCTCAGGCCCCAGCTCCACTCCACCTTACCCAACAAATCACCCTTTACACACCAAAGACAACTTGTTTTAGATGCTTAAAACATTTATTATTGTTATTATTATTAATTGTTGAAGAAATGGATCTTGAACATTCTTTAATGTTTCCAGAAAACTCTTAAATCATGATAACGGCTGGGATGGCCTACCATGTGTGGTAACTCCCTTTGGTTATCCCATGTTGTGTCATCATCATCATCTTCGCTCCCATCTTTTCTTCCGAGTCCTCCCCCATGTAGGGACATGCTGGGATCTGAGGGGGGCGTTTTCTTGGTGAAGGGCAGTAACTGAAATTGCTTATTTATCACTTTCCTATGGATTTGATTGTAAAGCCAGAGCTTTCCGCCCGTGGCTGAAATGACCAGGTCTTCTTTTAATCAATAGACTGACCAATGTCTAGGAGATTCTCCCTGGAATGGGGAGGGGGAGGAGGGAAGGTGAGTGGTGCTGCCTCTTTTTACTTTCAGTGCGGGTATATCTCTTCTTCCCCAAAATTGTGCATCACTGCCATTTGCAAAAAACATGGTCCCACTGGGGGAAAAGAAGTTTTTAAAACATTGGCCTTCTGCGGCCGCCCACAGCTGGCTCCTGATCCACAGGGATTGGTGCGAAGCACTTTGGAAATGTGATTATTGGACAATGTGGAATGCTCCAGATCAAAGAAAGAGGAGAAAAGCCAATGATTGGAACTCTCCCGTGTGAGTGAGGCTGTTCTGGAAGTGCATGCCTCCTTCCCCATGTGAGGGGATTCTAGGGGTGGGTAGGAATTGTGTCAAAAAGGGAAGGTTTGCACATGGTGATGAGAGGTCCTAGGAGCCGGGAAGGAGGAGAGTAGAATGTTTCTATGGAGTACAGGTGATGCTTAGACAATAATCCCCGTGTGTGTCTAATCTGTCTGGTCAGGGTGGCAGGGTGGGATGTAAGGTCAGCTTGTCTTTGGAGAAGCTAATTGGATTTGAATATATAGGTTTGGGTATTGAAATGGCTAAAGGAAATCTAAATAACGCACAGATTTAAAACAACAACAACCACTTTTGGTTGTCACTGACTTCACACCTCAAAAGTGTTTATCTTTTGCTTTAAAAAAGAAAAAATCATTCCTTCGAGAGGCATTGCTTTCTCGGCCTGTGCTGTATGGCAGCTGGCAGGTGGACTCTTTGATGGATGCCCTTTTCAGCGTAATTTATTTAGGGAAACACAAGGGTACCATACACAGAATCTAGAATCTTAAATTATGTATTGGGCCAAAAAAAAAAAAGTTCGCCAGACTTAAGGCACTTTGAGTTGGAGCTGACAGAGAAGAGCTTGAGATTGGCTCAGTCTGTGTACTTCTAGTTAAGCCAAAGCTTAATGATTTGCGGGAGGGGTGTCTTTTAGGCTTGAAGCAGCAGCATACTGTTTGTCTGTGTGTCCTCTTCCTCTCGGGGAGATTCGAGGATTGCTGTGTACTGGTAGATAGTGGAAGAAAATGCCAAAGTTAATAGGCTTGTTTTTTCTGTTTGGGGAAGAAAAGAAAAAAAAGTCAACGGTGCCAAAAAACTATTTAGGGTATTTATTGACAACATCCCTGTTGCGGTTCCAACAGTCTGGGGCTGTAGCAAAGTCAAACTCTTCTGCTTGTGTGTTGAGACCACAGAGGGTCTCTACTCCTTTTTTTCTCTCTCTCTGGCTTCCTGCAGGCCAGGAGCACAGGACACGCACACCACTCACTCCGCTCCACACCGAATGTTTTGTTGTTTCGTTTTCTACCTCAACTTTTGGCAAAAAGTCATCTACCTCATGTTAGCATCTGACGGGTCTCGGAATAGTATTAAACCACTGGGGAGTGGGCGGGCGTGACGCTACCTCTGGGAGAAAATGTTTTCAAGAATCCAGAACTGATCTCTCCTGGGAGAAACGTTTGGTTGACCTTGACCAAGAAAATCTTGAAACCAAATATTTCCTTCTAACTCAGGCAAACCTAATCAGAAATCCAAGTGTTCCTTACCAATGTGACTTCCCCCAAACCTCTCCCCACCCCCCACACATCCCCAACTAGGAGTTAAGCACACTGTTAGTTACCATGTTGTTCAGTATTATGGAACTACTGGTTCATCTGACCTATGTGAGGACTGAACTACAAATAAAGACCTTTAGGTCTCTCTCTCTTTTTTTTTTTTCTCTTCAAGAGGAAAAAAAAAAATACTTTATCTGTTTTTTTGAATGCCAGCAAGTATACCCCTTTTAGGAGCAATTCTCTAGGGGTCTTGTTGGAGACATCAACTGTTGGAAAGGGAATGAGGATCTTTAGACTTCTTGATTGTATTTGTTGCTCTCCTAGATCCCTCACTGGATATTCATCTCCACGACATGGCAACAATCGCCGTCTTACTGAGCAGTGACTGGTAAAGTGTGTGTGTTGCTCTTTTTGTTTTGTGTGTTTTTTTTTTTTAAATAAAAATATATATATATATATTTTCTTCCTACCAAAGGTAACATGTTGACGGGTTGTTCTTTTTTCCTCTGCTTGTTTATTAAATACTTGATAAAATTGAGAAGCACATTATCACGATATACTGTACT